TTTTTATTTATTTACAACATTAAAAAAACTGCTTGTCTTTCAACCAAATCTGGACAGCTCCCGATCATATGAATGCTATAAAACTCAACTGATTATAATGTTAAAAACAAGTGAAACTTGGTGCCAAATCAGCAGCTTACAAAAAAATAATACTATATTAAACCAATTAAGAACATAAATTAAACAAGACAGCTGGGATTAAGCAGCCGTTAAAACTGGAGATGATCCAACCATCCACTTATATTCACATCCAGCCCTTCAGACATTGCCAAAAAACCCTCCCCAGATAGATGCATCAAGATTTCTAATGAAGACCCAACCCTCCAACCAAGGTCTCATCCAATCCTTGCAGACTCTGGTTTTTTTTTGAGGTTCTCATTCATACCTGCCCAAAGCACCGTCCACCAGGAACTTCTCCATCCAAGAATACTACGGACTCCATTCATCAAGTAAGTTGGCTTTGTCTGCATTGTATAAGCAGAAGGTCTTCGGGCTTCTTGGTTCCAGAACCCAAATCTGGAACCATCGGAGATCCTGACCAAGCTTGATCCAACATGAGCTTGACAAACCAAATCTGGCCACCTCCTTAATTTTGCAGCTGAGGTGTGGCCATCTCCTCGACTCTCAACCTCCTCATTGCTAATCGAAGAGGTGTGGCTGGATTCAAAAACCGGTAACGGGAAAGGATGAAAACTTCCATATTTAGAACTAGTAAAAAATTTTATTTGCTAAAAGAACATGAGTCACACAGTTTACTAGTCACAAAGAGCTATGGCAAAGTCCGACGTCATTTTTCTTTTACGAGGTTTTGTGATCGTTTGGCCTTTGACTGAATATTTTAGAAGCATCTCACCCCGTCTTCTAATTGTTGATAATATGTGGGTTTGAAGCTGGGGTGAAATGCTACCGGTTTGGACCGGTTCGGCTGAATCGGTAGCGATGGAGGCGGGTGGTTCGGAGAACCGGTAGCGACAGCCAGCACGAGGCTCTGCCCATCCGCCCGGTGGTCATTACTTCTTGGTTTTAACCAGGAAGTAACCTGCTTTTTACCCTCTGCACATGCGCAGAAGGGTTTGCACATGCGCAGAGAATCCACGCGCCCACATGCACTTCCGAACCGGAAGTAGATTTCACCCCTGGTTTGAAGAATTGTTCCAGTTTCCTGATCTATTTTAGATCAGCTTTATTCACAAAGTTGTGGAGGTTGCAGTGTCTCCATAATCAACATGATTTCGGACATTCCCTGACGGCTTCCCACAAGTCCTTGGGGAAGCCAATAGGAAGTCGGAAGTCACTCCCACACCTGCTTTTTTGCCCACTTGTGGTTTGTCCTTCTGTTTCTCAATTCAGGTAAGGAGATATGGATTTATTATTGAAGTGCATTTACCACTACTCCTATTTTCCTATTCATGATATATTTGGAATAAAAACATATTTTTATTTTAACATATGTTCAGCAGGCCGGCCTGGCCTAACTTTCCCTTTATATTGCTTTTTGATTTTATTTTAAACTGGGATGTCTTGAATTATCTAGGACCAGAGTGTTTAGTATATTTTAATTGGTTTTTTATTAACGTTTGTATTACATGTATTTTTATCGTTCGCTGTTCACCGCCCTGAGTGCCTTAGGAATAGGGCAGTATATAAATTTAATAAATAAATAAATAAATAAATATGGTCAGCCTAAAATGTAAAGTCCGAAAGTTGCTTTTTCCAAAAGGGCACCTGTATTTTGTTTTCTTTGAAGACATTTCACTTCCCATCCACAAAGCTTCTTCAGTTCTAGCGCTGATGTTGTTATCTAATTGGATAATGAAACATCTGCAAGGAAACAACCAAGCTCAGAGAGCACCAAGGACCCCTCGTTTCAACCCTGAGCTATAAATATTCTCCTTTATTGGATGAGAAGTGAAACGTTTTCAAAGACAAACAGCCAAGAAAGTCCCATTGCCTTTTAGAAAAAGCACCTGGATGATTGAGAATCTCCATAGACGCCCCTAAAATTTAATGTTAATTGTGGTCACATTAGACTGTACTTACGTTCTCTCAAAGGGTGGCCTAACATGCCACAGGGTTGTCTAGTTAGAAATAAAACCGATTGATCATGTCTCATGTTGTTGACTGATAGCTAAGGTGGCCAGGATGAGGTCCCTGGGTGTGTTACAAAGCACAGAATGCCAATTTATAGGTACTTTCTGGAAAATCTTTTGGAGAGAGAAATTGACTTTGGCCTACTTCCCTGTTGGGAAGCATTCAGTCTGGCAGGGAGGAGGCATCAAACGTGTCCCTAGTCTAGAGTCACTCTGCAGTCACAAAAGGCCTAGGACCGCTCTCCTCCCATCCAAGTTCCTTGGAGCCTTATCTAATTGTTATCAAGAGTTGGCTGGGAGATTATAGGCAGGACATTTTTTTATTTATTTTATTTTTATTTTATTTTATTGAATTTGTATACCGCCCTACTCCAGAAGGACTCAGGGCGGTGAACAGCCATAGAATAAAACATATAAATACAAAATTTAAAATACAATAAAATGAATTAAATAATTTGGCTGAACAAATTTAAAACCCCAATAATTTAAAACCAAATTTAAAATTTCCATTTAAAAAAGGGAAAGACTTAGGTCAGGCCAGCTTGACGTAATACAGGAAGTCCTCGATTTACAACCATTTGTTTAGTGACCGTTCAAAGTTATAACGCCACTGAAAAAAGAGACTTATGACCATTTTTTTCACACATGACTGTTGCAGCATCTCCCTGATCACATGATCAAAATTTGGATGCTTGGCCACTGGTTCATATTTATAACAGTTGTAGTGTCCCAGGGTCATGTTTTGCGACCTTCTGACCATCAAAGGCCACAGGGAAGCCTGATTTAATTAACGACCGGGTTACTTACTTAACAACTGTAGTGATTTACTTAACCACTGTGGCAGGATAGGCTGTAAAATGGGGCAAAACTCACTTAAAAACAGTTTTCGCTTAGCAACAGTAATTTTGGGCTCATTTGTGGTCGTAAGCCGAGGACTATCTGTAAAGTAGTTAGCCTGAACTCTGCATGTGTGGTTCAGTTTAATCCTGTATTATGTTCGGTTACTTTACTCTTTATATTTTCTATTTATAGTTTATAATTTACTTTATTGTTGTTGCACATGGTACAACGAAATTAAATGCCGTCTTCAGTGTACATTATAACTATAAAAATAAAAACACAAACTTACATCCTCTACATTCTATATAATTGAAACTGAAAACCCGATATTGCACTATACTGTAGAATTCAATATAGTTACTGCCCTGGGATAGAAGCTGTTTTTCAGCCTATGTGTCGTTGTCTTTTTTATTTTTTTATTTTTATTTATTTTTATATGCCGCCCTTCTCCGGAGACTCAGGGCGGCTTACAATGCGCTAAGCAATAGCCTTCATCCTTTTGTATATTTTTTATACAAAGTCAGCTTATTGCCCCCACAAACCGGGTCCTCATTTTACCCACCTTAGAAAGGATGGAAGGCTGAGTCGACCTTGAGCCTGGTGAGAATTGAACTCGCAGTAATTGCAGGCAGCTGGATGTTAAACGCTGCCTTAGTAGGAGGCATTAGCCTCCTACGCCACTCAGGCTCCTTTTTATTGACCTGTACCGTCTGCCAGATGGTAATAGTTCAAAAAAAAAAAAAAGGTGCCCAGGATGAGATGGATCTTTAAGAATGTTTTGAACTTTCTTAAGGCAGCGGGAGCTATAAAGCTCTTCCAAGCTATTTCTTCTCAATACAAACTGTCTCAAGGTTTGTAAGAATGGGAAGTGGTCAACAAATCCATAAAATAAATAACCCAATGTGGTTGATCCCTACTAATGCAAAGTCCTGTTGCAGATTGAACGACGTTTGGGGTAGAGATGTTATGAGTGAAGCTGATTTGACCGAGGCTACCCGAGTTAAAAGCTGGGATGTGAAGGCAGACAGGCTGGTTAAAATGTCATCACTCTGCTGAACAAATAATTCCCTCAACACTGTCAAACTAGTTACTAAGTCTGCATTACTATTAATCTTCTCATCGTTCCCACCACCGATCTCTTCCCACTTATGACTGTATGACTGTAACCTTGTTGCTTGTATCCTTAAGTTTTATATTGATTGTTTCTCTATGACTATCATTAAGTGTTGTACCTTATGATTCTTGATGAACGTATCTTTTCTTTTATGTACTCTGAGAGCGTATGCACCAAGACAAATTCCTTGTGTGTCCAATCACACTTGGCCAATAAAGAATTCTATTCTATTCTGTTCGGTTCTGTTCTTCTATTCTAATTTATTTATATGTATGTATGTATATATGTATATGTATGTATATGTGTATATGTGTGTGTATATATATATATATATTTGTCTATGTAAGTTTTCACGGGTATATATGTGTGTACAGTTAATATTTCGGGTTTCTTCCCGTGTAATTGTGAACATATCCCTAAAAGGGTAGAAGCGACGTAGGGTAGAAGTGAAGTAATCACATAAGCCTGATGATGGCAGATGAGATTCTGTCGAAACGTCGCTTCTACCCTTTTAGGGATATGTTCACAATTACATGGGAAGAAACCCGAAATATTAACTGTACACACACACACACACACACACACTCACACACACACACACATATATATAGTCTTTGGTTATTCGGGTTTTCTCCCGCGTAAAATTGGAGGTGTCTTGGCAACGTTTCGACGAAATGTCATTCGTCATCTTCAGGCTGGTGTTTTCGGCTTCGTGCTTCTAGGAGCAATATATATATATATATATGGTATTTAAAGGGGAAGGCTTCCACTGCAGAGGAAAGTGAGTTTGGGCCTTAAAGATTGTTTTTTATTTTGTTAAGATTTTTTAAAATGAAGTCCAGTTAATAATGCAGGTGCACATGAGTGATTCCAACACCACAGAATCAAGAGGTCAACCATACTGTATTTTGACGCTGACAACAACAACAACAACAAAGCATCACCATTGCCAAAAAGAATGATTTATTGAGTGCAAATTTTCCTACTTCTCAATCCATCTGAATGACTGCATACATTCTTTCATTACGGAAAGGCAAATGATAACTGGGTATTGATACGATCCGTTGTTGGAATGTTAATGGAGAGGCAGGGGTGAGGAACTCTACAAGGTGGTTTCAACGTAGATTTTCAAAAAACTCAAAATTTAAAATGACGTAAAAACAGACGAAGCTTCAGCCTGCATCAGAAATCAGAGAGTAGAAACCTAAAACAGAGAAAACGGCAGATGGTTAAAGCACAGTTTTTGTTCCCGGTTCTGGGGCCCTGTTTGAAAACGGAATGGGACAACATTCTGCAACCAACTTGCCATGGTGAACTCACCACAGGACAAGTCGAAATAGCCAACTTGCCACAGGACAATTCAACATTTCAATTGAATCATATAATTGATGATTAGGGGGCTGGAGGCTAAAACATATAAAGAACGGTTGCTGGAATTGGGTATGTCTAGTTTGATGAAACAAGGACTAGGGGTGACATGATAGCAGGGTTCCAATATCTCAGTGGCTGCCCCCCAAAAGAGGGAGTCAAGCTATTCTCCAAAACCCCTGAAGGCAGAGAAGAAGCAACGGGTGGAAACTAATCAAGGAGAGAAGCAACTTAGAACTAAGGAGAAATTTCCTGACAGTGAGAACAATTAATCAGTGGAACAACCTGCCTCTAGAAGTTGTAAATACTCCAACACTGGAAGTTTTAAGAAGATGTTGGATAACCATTTGTCTGAAGTGGGAAAGGGTTTCCTGCCTAAGCAGGGGGGTGGACTAGAAGACCTCCAAGGTCCCTTCCAGGGGTGAAAATCTCTGAAATCTGCTACCGGTTCTGTGAGTCTGCTACCAAGAGCGCACTTCACGCAGCGCTAAAAAAGGAACATTTTGAAGCCTTCCGAGTCTGCAAAGGTAAGTAGAACAGCAAATGGGGGGGACGGGATTCCACTGTGCCACGTGATTTAGATTAGCAAGAAAGCAGGAAATCCAATGATTCTAGCTAATATAAATTGCGCGTCACAGCTGATCGTCGGAAATACCCGTTCGTCCGAACCGGTAGCATTTTTTTACTACCGGTTCGTCCGAACTGGTCCGAACCGATAGCATTTCACCCCCGGTCCCTTCCAACTCTGTTATTCTAATTCTAATTTAAAATAATATTAAAAAATAATCTTAGTTTTTGCCATTCACATTTCACTCTGTTCCTCCTTTGGCATCCTTTCTTTAATGATTCTATTCCACCATTTCATCGATATTAGTGCAGATCATGTGACGCGGCAAGTTGGCCATGGCGAGTTTTCCCGTGACGAGTTGGTGGCGGCGAGTTGGCCGTTGCGAGTTGTCCTAGACCAGGGGTGGGCAAATGTGGCTCTTTTACAACCTGTGGACTTCACATTTGCCCACCCCTGTCCTAGAACCATTCAAAAACAGCCTTTGGGGAATTTGATTTTAGTTACAGATGTGGGGGGCATTGAAAAATAATGTTTACATACCCTGAGTTGTAGTAAGATTCCCCTTTTTTTTTGATACTGGGAAAAGTAATTTACAACTGGTCCTCACGCTTACAACCATCGTAGCACCTCCCCCAAGGTCACATGGTCAGAATTCAGATGCTTGGCAACCGGCACACGATTATGAAGGTTGCAGCATCCCAGGGTCATGTGAACACCATTTGTGACCTTCCCAGCAAGCTTCCGACAAACTAGGTCGGTGGAAGAAGTGGCAGTTGCTTAATCCCTGCGTGATCCACTTAACAACTGCAACGATTCGCTTAACAACGCTCGAAAAAAAATCATAAAGCGGATTATCCCCTTAGCCGCTGCACGATTCACTTATCACAAAGGTCGTAAAATCGGGCAGAACTCACCTAACGACTGCCTTGCTTAGCAGTGGAAATGATTCACAGGACTCGCTTAACAACTGCAGCGATTCACTTAACAACCACAGCAAAAACCTGGCATGACTCACTTAACAACTGCCTGTCTTGGGATCGGAAATTCTGGTTCCGATTGGGGTTGTCTAGTTCAGAGGTCTCCAACCTTGGCAACTTTAAGACTTGTGGACTTCAACTCTGTTCCTCCAAAGGAGGAGGAACTTTGGAGTTCCTCCAAAGCTGGCTGAGGAACTCTGGGCATTGAAGTCCACAAGTCTTAAAGTTACCAAGATTGGAGACCCCTGGTCTAGTTGAAGTCTACCAAAAAAAGTTAAGGGTGAAATCAGAGCTCTGGCTGGTTTTTATGTGCATCGAACACGCTACTCAGATAAAACCAGGTGGACCTTCCATGTTGTGGCTGCCATCTTGATTGTCTTCGCCTACGCTGTGGAGACCCCAGATGCGAGTCCCGGATTCCTGCCTGGATGTCTTGCAAATATCACAACACTTGGGAAAACTAAGGTCATATAAACCGTTCCTGAAGATTTTCTGAAAAAACTCATACTTACAATGCCCTCAACGGCGTCTTAAGCTTGTTCGTCTTTCTAATGAGAGAAAAAGAGATCACAAGGTATTATTAGGTGTGTCTTCATAGTCAGTCCCCAGGCAGGAGCCCCTCAATTATTTTTTGCCACGGATTTTGCTTAGGGTTTTCCTTCCTTCTACTCACCTATCATGTCAATCTCCAGAGAGGTCTCGAGTGTTAAGTTAGATCTGGGATTCGTTGCTTGACAAGTATAATTCCCAGAATTCTTTGAGAAGATCTCCAGAACGAACACCTTGGGGTTGTCCAGAACTGGCTCTCCATTGAAAAACCATTTATTCTCCGTGGCGGGAAAGGCAACAGCTACGCACGTGAGGCTGATTTTTTCCTGGTTGATGTCAACTGTCTCATTGATAAAAGGAGCATCAGGTCCATCTGCAAGATAAAGACATCATTTAAAAGAGAGAAGAATATCTTTCATGGCCTTGCGATCTTCTGAAATACAAGGAAGAATGCTTCCATTTCATTTTGTGTAACGGGTCTGGGGAAGGGACGGCCCTGGATGTCACCTACCGTGTATTCCCGAAAATCAGACCCTGTCTTATATTTTTTTTGCATCTTGAAATAAGCGCTTGGCCTTATTTTTGGGGGAAGTCTCATTATTTTGGGGCACGTGGAACAAGACGAGGCTCCTCTTGCCGTCTTACCTGATTTCCAGCTCTGTCTCCCTAACCCTAACCAGAGGAAATGGCGGGGACCGGCTGCACGTGCACTTAAATATTTTGGGGAGGGCTTATTATCCAGGGAGGTCTTATTTTCGGGGAAACACGGTAGGTCAGTCTTTCTTCAAAGTTGGCAATTTTCAGATGGGCGGACTTCAACTCCCAGGATTCCACAGCCAGCATGGGAAGTTGAACTGTGGGAGTTGAAGTCCACGCATCTGAAAATTAAACAACTTTGAAAAAAAACACTGGCCTAGACTGACCTGAATGCCAATCTTGGCAAAACCTAAATTAACCCAGATTTGGGGTTGTGCACTAAACTGAGAAACAGGCTGGGTTCATAAAACGTGCTGATTTACTGAACCCCTCCCAAACAAACCAAGTTTAAAATGAACTCAATTTACCACTTCATTTGAATGTAGCCCCTAGGTTGCCAAATGAGGTGGTGATTCCTGGGCAGTGGTGAAATTCAAATTTTTTTATTACCGGTTCTATGGGCGTGGCTTGGTGGGCGTGGCAGGGGAAGGATACTGCAAAATTTCCATTCCCACCCCATTCTGGGGCCAGCCAGAGGTGATATTTGCTGGTTCTCTGAAACTACTCAAAATTTCCGCTACTGGTTCTCCAGAACCTGTCAGAACCTGCTGGATTTCACTCCTGTTCCTGGGCCACTTAGCGGTGCAAGACCTAAACCGCTACAATCCCTACACTGAGAATTGAATGTGTTCAAAACAGTAAGTTTGGAAGACCTCAGGATACAGAGAGTTTGCAAAAAGTACACAACCTAGGTAGCTTCTGCATTTATCTGACAAAATTGGAAAGCTTGTGAGGCAAACAACCCTCTCTTTGTAGCCTGCACTCGGTTTTCTAGTTGCTGACTCTTTTCTTCTGTTCCAGAATAAGAAGGAAAAACAGAATAATAGAATAACAGTTGGAAGGGAGCTTGGAGGTCTTCTAGTCCAACCCCCTGCTCAAGCAGGAAACCCTATATGATATCTGACAAATGGTTGTCCAATCTCTTCTTAAAAACCTCCAGTGATGGAGTACCCACAATCTCTGGAGGCAAGTTGTTCCACTGATTAATTGTTTTAACTGTCAGGAAATTTCTCCTTAGTTCTAGGTTGCGTCTCTCCTTGATTAGTTTCCACCCATTGCTTCTTGTCCTGCCTTCAGGGGCTTTGGAAAATAGGTTGACCCCTCTTCTTTCTGGCAGCCCCTGAGATATTGGAAGACTGCTATCATGTCACCCCTGGTCCTTTTCACTAAACTAGATATATCCAATTCAGTCAATTCAGAATAGAGCTGGAAGGGATCTTGGAGGTCCAACCCCTTGCTCAAGTAGGAAACCCTACACCACTTCAGACAAATGGTTGTCCAACATCTTCTTAAAAACTTCCAGTGTTGGAGCATTTACAACTTCTGGAGGCAAGTTGTTACACTGATTAATTGTTCTCACTGTCAGGAAATTCCTCTTTAGTTCTAAGTTGCTTCTCTCCTTGATTAGTTTCCCCCATTGCTTCTTGTCCTACCCTCAGGTGCTTTGGAAAATAAGTTGACCCCCTCTTCTTTATGGCAACCCCTGAGATATTGGGACACTGTTATCCTCTCACCCCTGGTCCTTCTTTTCATTAAACTAGACCTGCCCAATTCCTGCAACCATTCTTTGTATGTTTTAGCCTCCATATCAGTGGTGGGTTCCTCCCGGTTCGGTCCGGTTCGGCCGAGCCGGTAGCGGTGACAATATGACGTCACCAAACCGGTTCTCCCCCCCGCCCTCCCACGTTATTCTTACCTTTTATTTGGTCCCACCCCCAATCTATTGCTGCCTCCTGAGTCCCAGCTGATGACCAGAGGGAAAAAAAACTGTTTAAACTCTTGCCACGGGGCTTCAAAGGGCGGCCCTACAGCTGATCAGTGTTAAAAGCAAACAAATGAGTCGGGTTGTAAGTGCGAGGACTGGTCGTAAGTGCGAGGACCTTCCAGAAATGACTCTGACCAGCTAGCCACGCCCGCCTAGTCACATGACCTCCAAGCCACACCCACAAAATAAGCCACGCCCACAGAACCGGTAGTAAAATAATTTAGAACCCACCCCTGCTCCATATGAGAGGTTGGCCCCTCTCTTAACCCAAACGCAAAGTAAGGCCCGTTGACTTACATACGATACTTAAGCCAAAGAAATCGCTTTCATCGGAAGAGTAGTTGTTGTGAGCGTGGCACTTATATTTAGCAGCATCAGTTCGATGACATGGGTGGAAATTGAGGGTCTGGTTGTTGTTTGCAAAAGAGATACGTTCATCTTCATTCACGGGCTGGTTTTCTTTCATCCAAGAATACTGAACTTCATCACCTTTGGCTGTGCAGTTCAAGGAGATGTTTCTACCCTCTATGCCTTCTGATGAACCGCTGATGTTTACATCACTCACGCAACCTGCAAGGAGGGCAAAAGAGCTGATGATGCAGAAGGAGAAAGAGACCACACAACAAAAGCAAAGTGCAGGAATGGAGAAGGATAATGGAGAGGCAGTTCGGTCTAGTGCAGTGTTTCTCAACCTTGGAAGCTTGAAGATGGGTGGACTTCAACTCCCAGAATCCCCCAGCCAGCGCTGCTGGCTGGGGGATTCTGGGAGTTGAAGTCCACCCATCTTCAAGCTTCCAAGGTTGAGAAACACTGGTCTAGTGGTTGGGGCATCAGACTAGAAACCTGGAGACCATGAGTTCTAGTCTCACCTTAGACATAAAAGACGGCTGTGGGACTTGGGGACAATCACCAGGAGATGATGAGTTCTAGTCTTGGCTTAGGTATGAAAGTCAGTTGAATGAGTTTGGGCCAATCATCAGGAGTTGGTGAGTTCTTGTTTTGCCTTAGATATGAAAGCCAGTTGAATACTTTTGGGCCAATCACCAAAGATGGTGAGTTCTAGTCCCATCTTAGGCATGAAAGCCAACTGGGTGACTTCGGGCCAATCACTAGGAGGGCTGGGAGTTGTAGTCCCATCTTAGGCATGAAAGCCAATGGGTGACTTCGGGCCAATTACTAGGAGACTGGGAGTTCTAGTCCCATTTTAGGCATGAAAGCCAACTGGGTGACTTCGGGCCAATCACCAGGAGATGATGAGTTCTAGTCTTGGCTTAGGTATGAAAACCAGCTGAATGACTTTGGGCCAATCACCAGGAGATGGTGACTTCTAGTCCTGCCTTAGGCATGAAAGCCAGCTGGATGACCTTGGATTCTCCCCCCTCTCTCAGCCCAACCCACCTCACAGGATTGTTGTTGTGGGGAAAATAGGAAGAAGAAGGAGTTCTGGATATGTTCCCCACCTGGAGTGATTTGTAGAAACGATACAGGCGAGGTACAAGTAAACAAATAAATACATTTGTTTATTACAGGCAGTGCTTCTTCTCTTTCAACCACAATTGAGCCCAACATTTCTGTGGCTAAGCAAGATGGTTTTTAAATGAATTTTGCCCCGTTCTGTGACCTTTCTTGCCACAGTTGTTAAGTGAATCACTGCAGTTGTCAAGTTAGTAACACGGTTGTTAAGTGAACCCCCACGACTTAGCTTGTCAGAAGGTCACCTGTCTAACAACTGTCTCACTTAACAACAGATATTTTGGAGCTGATTGTGGTCATAAGTCGACGACTACCTCTACAATTGATCACTAATAAGCAATATCTTTCTCAACCAATGGAGCCAAGGATCGTTTCTATTTTGAGGTTTAAGTCAGGGATTCCCAACTCCTGGCTCGTGGACTGGCACTGGGCCACGGCATGCCAGCAACCGGGCCACGCAAACAAGCGAAGCCCCATCCGTGGGATGCAGACAGCACACGAAACCACGGCCCTTCCAATCCACGGAAAAATCTCTCTCCAGACAGAACCAGTCCCTGGTGCCTTAAAGACTGATTTAAGTTGTGGCAGGTAGTTCCACAAACAGTGCTGGTGAAGGGAGCCACGGTGACAACGGACCACAAGTGTTAAACCCACTGCTCATACGTACTTTCCTTCAAGCGAATGTGCTGAACGTCGCTTCTCAACCGTTTTTGAAGGAGCTCATTCATGGCTTCGCAGACGTAGATCCCGGTTTGATTCTCATTGAAGTTTTCGATGAATAATTTGGGCCCGCTATCTATCCGGACACCATTACGGAACCAAGTATACTGAGGCTCGGGATAGGAAGCAGCCCGACAGGTGAGTATGATGTTTATGTGCCTTTCATTGCAGGCGTTATTTGGACGGATGACAGGTACCTCTGGACCATCTAGGGACAAAGATGCAATGCAGAAAAGTTTGGATTTGAACGGAACAATTTCGGCGGAATACTTCCAGCCATTCACGCGCAAGAGCAAGCAGGATTGTCCCAAAGGTGATTTTTTTTTTTCTTCTCAGGAGGCAATTGGACTTCCTTCATTTTCCTTGATCAGGGATCGGCAACCCGCGGCTCTGGAGCCACTTGTGGCTCTTTCATCCCTCTGCTGTGGCTCCCTGTTTTTATTTATTAGTCCAATTTATATGCCGCCCTTCTCCGTAGACTCAGGGTGGCTTACAATGCATTCTAGCAATAGCCTGCATACTTTTTTTGTATATACCTGCTTATTAGGGCTTTTGGCTCTCCCTAATCAGTGTTGTTCTATACAAAGTCGGCTTATTGCCCCCACAATCCGGGTCCTCAATTTACCTACCTCGAAAGGATGGAAGGCTGAGTCAACCTTGAGCCTGGGGAGATTCGAACTTGCACTAATTGCAGGCAGCTGGCAGCTAAGTGCTAGCACTTAACAACACTTTAGTCCGCTGCACCACCGAGGCTCCTGTTGCCGGTCAGCGCCACAATTTTGAGAGGAGGAGCTTCCAGTTAGGGGAGGGGGAAAGCAAGGCGCGCCAGGAGGAGACTTTATGGCAAGGGGCGGGTTTTTCAGTCGGCTCCACAATTGATTGGGCTTTCGGTTAGGACGGGTAGAGGAAAAAGGACGCCATGCTAGGAGGAGACTTTATGGTGGGGAAACCGGACTTCCGGTCAGCTCCAGAATTGTACGGGGGGCTTCCAGTTAGGATCTTTGTGGCTCTTTGAGTGTTTAAGGTTGCCGACCCCTGTCCTTGACGAAGTTTCATTTCTCATCCAAGAAGCCTCTTCAATTCTGACCGAATGGTGGAGGATGGAAGGATTTATATTCTTTGCAGTCATCTGGTCATTAGTGCTCTTCCTGAGAGTCATTGAGGCCACATGGAGGTTTATCTCTGTGCCCTCAGGGTCATTTGAGTAGTGCAAATGGATGTGGCACCTTCTTGGAACTGCTGAAAGGACCGTGTTGTAAACAGGAGACGGGTGATGTCATATCCTTCCCCCTCTGTTTGATAGAGGGCTGTTCAATCTTAATGTAGATGGCCTCTTTGACCCCGCACTCTCAGAAAGAGCGCTAACGACCAGAGGACTGCAAGGAATATACATCCTTCTACTCTCCACCATTCAGTCCGAACCGAAGAAGCTTCTTGGATGAGAAGCGAAACGTCTTCAAGAAAAAAAAACAAAGGAAGTCCAGTTGCCTCTTGAAAAAGGTTGGGACAACCACGACCAGGATGACTGAGAATCTCCACAGACAAACACGGTCTTGATTGTGAGGCCTCCACACCTTTAAGGACAAAAAAGGACGTCTGAATTGGGCCGCGTCGTCAATGAAATTCCTTTTTTTTTTTTTTTTCAATTTGATTTATATGCCGCCCTTCTCCGGAGACTCAGGGCGGCTTACAATGCGTTAAGCAATAGCCTTCATACTTTTGTATATTTTATACAAAGTCAGCTTATTGCCCCCACAAACTGGGTCCTCATTTCACCTACCTTAGAAAGGATGGAAGGCTGAGTCAACCTTGAGCCTTGGAGAGATTCGAACCAGCAGAAATTGCAGGCAGCTGGTGTTAATAACAGGGTGCTTTAGACCACTGTACTATCAAGGCTCCTATCAAATTCCTTGTGAGCAAGGTAACCTTCAACCACCCCATCCCTGTCATGAATTTAGCTGCTGTGTTTTAACCAAAGCTCAGAGAAGAGACTTGTTTGGCAATGGTAGCTAAGTCCTCATTGAAGCCAGTCCTGTTGGTGTGAGGGACTGGTTACTAGGCAGTGCTGCCTCTCTTTACGGGCCAGGGATGGGCTCCATTTGGTCATGGGGTTCGGCCGGATTGCCCTGCCCTCTTCCTCACCTTCTCCAGCTGGTCTTTCTTCCGAGAGGCTGGGTGCTGCCTACGCTTCTCACTGCATTTACCAACATCATAAATGCTCCCCCCTCTGACCTTCAGAGGCTGTTTACCCCCACCGTGGGAGTCCTTTGCCCCAGTTAAGGTTCAAGCACTTTTTGAGTCGAGGCCGGACCAAATTACTCAGGTGCAATAAGGAAACAATCTCTCTGAGGGACATAAAGCCTTGATGAGAAAGAAATGGTCTTTGGGGCTCACCACACGTCCATAATCTTTTCTCCCTTCCTTTCGTTTATATTCCTTCCTTCCTTTCTTTGAATCTTTCCTTTGAATCTTTCCTTCCTTTTTCCTTCGTTTGAATCTTTCCTTTGAATCTTTCTTTCCTTCCCTCCCTCTCTCCCTCTCTCCTTCCTTCCTTTGAATCTTTCCCTTGAATCTTTCCTTTGAATCTTTCCTTCCTTCCTTCCTTTGAATCTTTCTTTCTTTCTTTCCTTCCTTCCCTCCTTCCTTCCTTTGAATCTTTCCTTTGAATCTTTCCTTCCTTCCTTCCTTTGAATCTTTCCTTCCTTTTTCCTTCCTTTGAATCTTTCCTTTGAATCTTTCTTTCCTTCCCTCCCTCTCTCCCTCTCTCCTTCCTTGCTTTGAATCTTTCCCTTGAATCTTTCCTTTGAATCTTTCTTTCCTTCCCTCCCTCACTTCCTCCCTCCCTCCTCCCTTCCTTCCTTTTAATCTTTCTTTCCTTCCCTCCCTCCTTCCTTCCTTCCTTTGAATCTTTCCTTTGAATCTTTCTTTCCTTACTTCCCTCCCTCCTTCCTTCCTTTGAATCTTTCCTTTGAATCTTTCCTTCCTTCCTTCCTTTGAATCTTTCCTTTGAATCTTTCTTTTCCTTCCTTCCTCTTTCCTTTGAATCTTTCCTTCCTTCCTTCCTTTGAATCTTTCCTTTGAATCTTTCTTTCCTTCCTTCCCTCCTTCTCTCCCTCCCTCCCTCCCTCCTTCCTTTGAATCTTTCCTTTGAATCTTTCTTTCTTTCTCTCCCTCCCTCCTTCCTTCCTTTGAATCTTTACTTTGAATCTTTCTTTCCTTCCTTCCCTCCCTCCCTCCTTTCCTCCCTCCCTCCCTCCTTTCCTTTCCTTTCCTTTCCTTTCCTTTCCTTTCCTTTCCTTTCCTTTCCTTTCCTTTCCTTTCCTTTCTCCCTCCCTCCCTCCCTCCCTCTCTTTCTTTCTTCTTGATCAGGCTGTTTTTGAAAGAGTAGAACTTATTCTCTCTTTAGGTTGTCCCCCCTGCTGCCCCACACACACACATTATGACAGAGGACACCTCATGTGTCAGACGGATTTTAACATGTCCTCTACAGAGACCCTGCAATGTAAAATAACACCTCCATAGGTGACATGTAAAACTGAGCTGGAGGAGATGGACGCCAAATACTCACAGATCACACTGAGGTGTTCAGCTTTACTTGTGACTTCAATGATTCCATTGGAGACTCGGCACTGGTAGTCCCCGGTGTCATTCCGGGTGACCGAGTCGATGGAGAGGGTCCGGTTGGAATCTGTGAGACTGTAGCCAGGGTGGAGAGGTTTTCCGTCCTTTAACCAGCTAACGTTTTGAGTGATAGGTGTATCGCAGTGTAGCTGAACAGACTGAGACTCCACCAGGAAAGGGGTTGGAGTGATGGTGACAACCGGCTCCGGCACATACTCTGCAGACAGGAGAGAGACGATTATCACCAGCAAACTCGTGTGCAGTGATAGAAACCAGAGTGACAGGTGTCAAACTCAATGCCCGTGGGCCGGATTCGGCCTGCAGGGTACTTAGATCTGGTCCGTGGGGCAGTGGTGGGTTTCAAATTTTTTTACTACCGGTTCTGTGGGCGTGGCTTGGTGGGCATGGCTTTCCTTTCCTTTCCTTTCCTTTCCTTTCCTTTCCTTTCCTTTCCTTTCCTTTCCTTTCCTTTCCACACTTCCTCTCTCCTTCCCTTCTTCCCTCCCTCCCTCACTATCCTTTCTTCCTTCCTCCCTCACTTTCCTTCCTTCCTTCCTTCCTTCCTACCTTTCTTTCTTTCCTTCCTTCCTTCCTTCCTTCCTTCCTTCCTTCCTTCCTTCCTTCCTTCCTTCTTTCTTAAACAAATTTATAGGGTCACCCAACTCAAAATCTGTGACTCCAGGACACGGTACCAGAAGTGGGTTTCAGCAGGTTCTGACCTGCTGGAGAACCGGTAGCGGAAATTTTGAGTAATTCGGAGAACCGGTAAATACCACCTCTGACTGACCCCGCCCAGGGGTGGGTTCTACTTATCTTTACTACTGGTTTGCAACGGGATCGTGCGTACGGTTTTGCTTTGCTCGCTCGCTCGCCAAGCTTCTGCACATGCTCAGATGGCCGATGACGACATCCGGGGCGGTGGGCAGGGCCTCCCGTCAGTTTTACTACCGGTTCGTCTGAACCGGGGGCAACCCATCACTGGCCCCGCCCCCATATATTCTCTGCCTCTCGAGTCCCAGCTGATTGAGAGGAAATGGGGATTTTGCACTATCCTTCCCTTGCCACGCCCACCAAGCCACGCCCACAGAACCGGTAGTAAAAAAATTTGAATCCCACCACTGCAGTGTACAGCATTAGAAATCAACCATCAGAAAAACCCCCGCCCCATGAGTACCACAAGCGCAATCATATAAGCCACTTGACTGGCTCCCCGAATCAACTTGGGATCCCCAGGCCCGCTGACAAAACCCATGTCTTCAGATCCTTCTGGAAAAAAAATCACAAGGAGGAAGGCACTCATTCGTGGAGGACTTCATGAGAAGTCCCCATCTGCAGCTGAATAACCTCCCTGTCTCAAAATTAAAAATAATAATAGAAGGGTTAACAACTCTTACCTTGGACTTTTAAGCTTACATTTCCCGAATTAGAAGATGTAGCTCCTCCTGCTACAAGCGTGTAGGTTGCAGTATCATTCAGTCCTAAGGGCTTGATGCGAAGGGAGCAGTTGGGGTAGGCCGTTTCTCTCCAAGTATATCCTGGTCCGGTTGTATTACTACCTGGTGGAAGCAGTACAACCGTCACGATTATTTGCGCCTGGGCCCCTGATAGCTTCCGTAACCAGGTGCAGGAGATAGTATCATTTGGGAGAAGTAGTGGGATCAACAGGACCTCTCCGTTCTCCATTGGTTCTGGAGGAACTACCACAAAAGGAATTGGCTCTTCAGCTTGAGCTGTGTGGAAACTACAATGGAGGATGGCACCTGTAGGTTGAAAGGAGAAAGAGGGACGGAGGGAGGGAGGGAAACGAAAGAGTCTCAGTAAAACACATTTCATTAAGCAAAAGACCCCTTCCTAGAATTTAATTGCAGAAAAGGTAGTTCTGGACAATGTTTTGCCTGCTCCATCACAGAGGTCCAGATCCTCATATCAATAAAACCATCCTTAGTATCCTGCAGGAGAAATTAGAAAATGCCATCAACCAATTAAAAAAAGAAGAAGAAGAAAAAGCAACGTGGATAACACTTGAAGGAATTTAACACACACACACCAACACCTGGTGACCCCGTAATTTGTTTAACTTTGTGGTTAGTTGAGAAGTGGTGTCCGACCCATCGCAACCCCATGGACAACGTTCCTCCAGGCCTTTCTGTCCTCTACCATCCTCTGGAGTCCATTTAAGCTCACACCTTCTGCTTCAGTGACTCCGTCCAGCCACCTCGTTCTCCGCTGTCCCCTTCTTCTTTTGCCCTCCATCGTTCCCAGCATTAGGCTCTTCTCCAGTGAGTCCTTCCTTCTCATTAGGTGGCCAAAGTATTTGAGTTTCATCTTCAGGAAATTTAACTAACAAATTAACAGCACTCCAGAGGGTTAACATCATTGCCCAGAGGATCATAGTTGCCCTTTCCCCTCCTTGGAAGAGCTGTGTAGCTCCCGCTGCCTTAAGAAAGTTCAAAAGATTCTTAAAGATCCATCTCATCCTGGGCACCCCCCCTTTTTTTTTTGAACTATTACCATCTGGCAGATGGTACCGGATAATAACGACAAGGAGAAATAGGCTGGAAAACAGCTTCTATCCCGGAGCAGTAACTATATTGAACTCTATTGTATAGTGTAATATTAATGCAGTATCAGGGGTTTTCAATTCAATTACATATGGAATGTGAAGGATGTATGTTTTTGTTTTATTTTTATAGTTTCCTTATGTATGATGTACACGGAAGATGGCATTTAATTTCATTGTAGGAGGTGCAATGACAATAAACTAACCTAACCTAACCTAACCTAACCTAACCTAAACTAGCCTAAACTAGCCTAAACTAAACTAAACCATTGTGGTTGGTTTAGCATGACACTCTAATTCCAAATCAAGCAAGTTATGCTTAGGTTAAGGACCTTATAATGGCTAAATGTTAATTAAGAAAAACATTGATTGCCTTTTGAGATATGGAAAAGTGGACCTTTGGCACTTTCATGGATTTTGAGACTCCATAACCAAAACTAAATCAATAATAATCATCAGCAACACTGTTTGGACAACAGTGGAAAAATGAAGAGATCCCTATAGATGAAAGTGTAATAAAGAAAAAAAAAATAAGAAATGTGCAGAAATGGATAGAATAACACTTACAATTAAGGAGAAGGAAGAAACAGAATACTTTTAAACATGGGATTTACCAATGGCTAACTACCCTGTTTCCCCAAAAATAAGACCTACCTGGATAATAAGCCCAATCGGGTTTTTGAGCACATGCGCTAAAATAAGTCCCCCTGAAAATAAGCCCTCCCTGAAAATATTTAACCGCATGAGCAGTCAGTCCTGGCCATTTCCTCTGGTTAGGGTTAGGGAGACAGAGCTGGGAATCAGGTAAGATGGCAAGAGGAGCCCCATCTTGCTCCACGCACCCCAAAATAATAAGACCTCCCCAAAAATAAGGCCAAGCGCTTATTTCAGGCTTCAAAAAAATATAAGACAGGGTCTTATTTTCGGGAAAATACGGTAACAGAAACAGACTTTAGAAATTTAAACGCTTAAGAGAATGATCCATTATATAAGGAAGGTTTACTAAAATGGATAAGCAAATACTATTATTATTATTATTATTATTATTATTATTATTATTATTATTATTAATTAAGTGATTATTATTAACATTATGAATATCATTGTTATTATGATCATTATTATTTCTCAAAAATAACTGTACCCAGACAACACACTGTTTATGTAGACACTGAATTTTTTATGTTTAATAATAATAATAAATATATATTTAAAAAAAATCATCGGCAATAAAGTCCCTGTTTTGTTTAGGTTTAGGTTTCAGTTTTATTAAATTTCTATACCGTCCTTCTCCCGAGGGACTCAGGACGGTGTACAGCCATATTAAAACACATGAATTTATAAAATTTAAAACCAATTAAAGTCAGATATATAAAATTTGGCCCTCAATTTAAAACACACATACACCCATTTTAAAATTCGTACTAGGCCAATCCGGCTTGCTGAAAGGGTCTTAAGGGCGCGGCGAAAAGTGCGCAGGTCGGGGCTAAGACGAAGCTCTAGGGGCAGCTCATTCCAGAGGGCTGGTGCCCCCACAGAGAAGGCTCTCCCCCTGGGTGTCGCCAGTCGGCATTGTTTGGCCGACGGCACCCTGAGGAGCCCTTCTCTGTGGGAGCGTATTGGCCGGTGGGAGGTTATTGCTGGCAGAAGGCGGTCTCGTATATATCGTGAAATAAAGCCAGCATGGATGTCATGCATCCAGCAGAATCCAGGTAGATACGCCAGGAAAAGAGCCTTGATAGTACAGTGGTCTAAGCACCCTGTTATTAACACAGCTGCCTGCAATTTACTGCTGGTTCGAATCTCTCCAAGGCTCAAGGTTGACTCAGCCTTCCATCCTTTCTAAGGTAGGTGAAATGAGGACCCAGTTTGTGGGGGCAATAAGCTGACTTTGTATAAAATATACAAAAGTATGAAGGCTGTTGCTTAACGCATTGTAAGCCGCCCTGAGTCTCCGGAGAAGGGCGGCATATAAATCAAATTTAAAAAAAAAAAAATTGAAATGAGGCCCTTATTACTCCACCAAATATCACATCCAGCCCTTGCTTACTCGAGCTTCTCATCCATACCTGCCCAAAGCACCATCCACCAGGAGCTTCTCCATCCAAGGTTATTGCATACACCGTCCATTGAGCAAGGTGACTTTCTCCGCACTGGGAGGCTGGTATATCTTCCTCTTCTTTTGTTCAAAACCACAGCTGGTACCACCAGGACGATTCCAGCTTTTATATGTCAGGAAACCAGTATGTGGTCACCTCTAGGCCACTCAACCTTCTCCAAATGAGCCAACACCTACCTGCCCTTCCCAGAAAGGTGTGGCTGGATGCCCAAGTTGTAATGGAAAAATAAGGAATGCATATTATGCAGTACATTCAGAATTAGTATATATATATATATATATATTAGTGTATATATTTATATTATTTGCTAAAAGAACATGAGTCATTCCAATTCAGGTGAAAGCATCATTCGATGTTCATGACAGGTTTACTAGTTATAAAGGGCTCCAGTTTATGTATTTGTGCAGCCTTTTGTACACATAATTTAGCCCCGACTCTAAAGGACAAAGACAAGGAGATGTTATATACTGTGCCTGTAATAAAGGTTTAATTTGATTTCAAGTTATAGACCCAGCATTTCTCGCTATCATTCTCATTGTTGAAGGATGTCAAGAACATTATGTGTCAAGAACATGATAGCAGTGTTCCAATATCTCAGGGGCTGCCACAAAGAAGAGGGAGTAGTCAAGCTATTCTCCAAAGCACCCGAAGGCAGGACAAGAAGCAATGGGTGCAAACTCATCAAGGAGAGAAGCAACTTAGAACTAAGGAGAAATTTCCTGACAGTGAGAACAATTCATCAGTGGAACAACTTTGCCTCCAGAAGTTGTGAATGCTCCAACACTGGAAGTTTTTAAGATGTTGGATAACCATTGGTCTGAAGTAGTGTAGGGTTTCCTGCCTAGTAGAGAGTTGGACTAGAAGACCTCCAAGGTCCCTTCCAACTCTGTTATTCTATTCTATTACATAAAAAGAAAAAAGAAAACCCAGGTTTAAAAAAAAATGCATCTACAAAGAGGTTCCAGGGTTACTCGTTCCAAGATGGTACTATCAAAAACCTATCCTCCAACCCACCCACCCCCAAAATAGCTGTTTTCAATTCCATTTAAAATAAGATAAAACAGTGTTTCTCAACCTTGGAAGCTTGAAGATGGCTGGACTTCAACTCCCAGAATCCCCCAGCCAGCAGTGCTGGCTGGGGGATTCTGGGAGTTGAAGTCCACCCATCTTCAAGCTACCAAGGTTGAGAAACACTGTTATAGTTGCTGAGGTTGCGCAACATAGCATTAAACCTAACAGGCCACAAGATGGCGGAAGAGAATCCAGCGTTGCTGGCTGGGGGATTCTGGGAGTTGAAGTCCACCCATCTTCAAGCTTCCAAGGTTGAGAAACACTGAGATAAAACATTATATATACTGAAAAGGCTTCTGATCTTTCTTTTCTGCTCCTAAATACAGGAAGTTCTCGATTTACAACGGTTTGTTCAGGGTCCATTCAGTTGCAACGGCCCTGAAAAAATGTGACTTATACGACCGTTTTTCACACTTTACGACCTTTGCAGCTTCCCGGTGATCATGTGGTCAAAATGCAGACGCTTGGCAACTGACTCATATTTATGATGACCACCGTGTCCCGTGGTCCTGTGAATCCTCTTTTGTGACCTTCTGACAAGCAAAGTCAACGGGGAAGCTGGATTCACCGAACAACCAGGTTAGCCTTCCATCCTTTCTAAGGTGGGTAAATTGAGGATCCAGTTTGTGGGGGCAATAAGCTGACTTTGTATAAAATATACAAAAGGATGAAGGCTATTGCTTAACGCATTGTAAGCCGCCCTGAGTCTGCGGAGAAGGGCGGCATATAAATCAAATTAAAAAAAAAAAAAGTAACTTGATTAGATGCAGTGATTCACTTAACAACGGTGGCAAGAAAACTCACTTAACGAACGTCTCACTTAGCAACAGAAATTTGGGGCTCAATTGTGATCGTAAGTCGAGGAGAACCTGTGCTTACTTTTAAATATCGGGATGTCAGTTCCGTTCTTGTGCCTTTTGTTTTCTTCCTTCTACGTTGGTGGGTTTGTTTATATTCTGGGGTACATTGATATATTTTTTTTCTGTTTTACTATTTTCTTTCGTCCTGTATTACAGCAGGAACATCAGTTACAAACGAAGGCCAGCCTATTCCTGCTCTTACGGACAAAAGACAAAAGGAACACACAACCCATGTTGTGATCCATAATATTGAAGCCTGTTGCGCCACAAGATTATTTTCGTAGCACTGCCGGTTTTGCATTTGCAAAATAACTTTTGTGTCTGTGCAGGAGAGAGTTTTAAGTCAGAAGGGTAAAGATGGAAGCAGCAGGATTCACTTTCCAGACTTGGGCAGAATTTGCCGGTTGTGACGGTTGCTAAAAGAATGCTTTGCTTGCTCTTATTTTATCATACTGTATATTGTCTGTCCTCTGGGCTGCAGAATCTGCAAACATCCAAAAGAAAAAAAACAACAACAAAGATGACGATCACAATAGATCACGACCAACAGGTGGCGCTTCGGTTGGCTGCCATCTTGACTTTTCTGACCACATGCCCTGTATAGGTATGTGCATAGATGTAGGGGGTGGGGAGCTTTCTGAAAAGATTCATTCATCTGAAAACCTGGTTCAATGTTTCTCTGAGTTAGCCATTTTAAGATGGATGAGCTTCCATTCCATCCAGTCTCTTCTTAAAAACTTCCAGTGTTGGAGCATTCACAACTTCTGGAGGCAAGTTGTTCCATTGATTAATTGTTCTAATTCTCAGGAAATTTCTCCTTAGTTCTAAGTTGCTTCTCTCCTTGATTAGTTTCCACCCGTTGCTTCTTGTCCTACCCTCAGGTGCTTTGGAGAATAGCTTGACTCCCTCTTCTTTGTGGCAGCCCCTGAGATATTGGAACACTGCTATCATGTCTCCCCTAGTCCTTCTTTTCATTAAACTAGACATCCCCAGTTCCTGCAACTGTTCTTCATATGTTTTAGCCTCCAGTCCAGAGGTGGGTTTCAGCAGGTTCTGACCAATTCTGGAGAACCGGTAGCGGAAATTTTGAGTAGTTTGGAGAACTGGTAGTAAAAATTCTGACTGGCCCTGCCCGCATCTATTCTCTGCCTCCTATGTCCCAGCTGGAAATGGGGATTTTGCAGTATCCTTCCCCTGCCACTCCCATCAAGCCATGCCACGCCCACCAAGCCACACCCACAGAACCGGTAGTAAAAAAATTTGAAACCTATCACTGCTCCAGTCCCCTAATCAATTTTGTTGCTCTTCTCAAACATTTTGTTGCTCTTCTCAAACCAAGTTTTGGTGTATTCGGGTCTTTTCCCATGTAAGATTGAGAGTATCTTGGCGACATTTCGACGAGGTCCCACTCGTCATCTTCCCACTCGTCCCACTCGTTGAAGTCCCACTCATCATCTTCAGGCTGGTGTCTTCGTCTTTGTGCTTTGTGCTTTGTGCTTTGTGCTTCGTGCTTCGTGCTTCGTGCTTCATGCTTCGTGCTTCGTGCTTCGTGCTTCATGTTTCCTCGCATAAGTACGAAGCCGAAGACACCAGCCTGAAGATGACGAGTGGGACCTGGTCAAAACGTCGCCAAGATACTCTCAATCTTACACGGGAAAAGACCCAAATACACCAAAACGTGCATACCTCTACCCATGAAAATCTACGAAAACATCTATCTATCTATCTATCTATCTATCTATCTATCTATCTATCTATCTATCTATCTATCTATGTTTTCACGGGTATATATGTGTGTACAGTTAATATTTCGGGTTTCTTCCCGTGTAATTGTGAACATATCCCTAAAAGGGATATGCATATATATATATATATATATATTTACACCAAATACACCAAATACACCCACCCCCTACTCAGGAGAAACAAATAGCTTTGTCTCTGCTTGCATTTTACAAACGTCTGAAAAACCACCATATTTTAGTGTGCTTTGGGCCCTTAGTTGTTTCTTTGCACATTGTCATATTTTAAACTTTATGGGATGATTGTCTTTTATATTTTATTTCTGTTGCTTTCCCCCCACCTCACTCCTTCCTCCACAGTCCATTAGGCTCGGGCAGAATATTAATTTTGGAAACAAATAAAAGAATGGGATATGAACACAACATGATTCACTGCTCCAAGTGACAATCCAGTGGGATTTATTTTTCAAAACACAGCTCCTTTTATCAAAAACGATTGTGTGGCCAACTTTTCCCCACAGGCACCGTTTTAGCATGATAAATTTCAGGCTGAAACGGCTGAAAAATGATCATTTTGTCTTTGTAAACACAAATATATATCCAGGGATAAGAAATCATCCATTTATTAGTAAGAATAATGTAACACGGAGTGTTCTTGGTTTTGTTTTTATAGGCTAACAAGTAATCCTCAAACTTAGAATAGAATGAAGAATTAGAGTGGAATAGAATAGAATAGAATAGAATAGAATAGAATAGAATAGAATAGAATAGAATAGAATAGCTTCCAGTCCCCTAATCATCTTGGTTGCTCTTCTCTGCACTCTTTCTAGAGTCTAGGATAGAAATAAAATAACAGAGTTGGAAGGGACCTTGGAGGTCTTCTATTCCAACCCCCTGCTTAGGCAGGAGGAAACCCTACACCACTTCAGACAAAATCTATGAAGAATTTCCTTGGCTAAACAAGACAGGTGTTAAATGACTCGCACCCGGTTTTAAAGACCTTTTGCTACTGGTGTTCAGCGAACCACTGCAGTTGTTAAATGAATCACAGGGTCATTAAGCGAATCCAGCTTCTCCCATTGGCTTTGTTTGCCCCGAAGCCGGCTAGGAAGATCGCAAGCGGTGATTGCGGGACCCCGGGACGCTGCCCTAAATACATGCTGGTTGTAAAGCACCTAAATTTTGATCACACGATCGTGAGGATGCTGCAATGGTCATAAGTACGAGGACTGGACCTAAGTCACTTTTTTCATCGTAAATTTGAATGGTCATTAAGCGAATGGTTGCAAATCGAGTATTCTGTGAGAAGTAATTTTGGGTAGTGGTTAAAGGCACCAGGCTAGAAACTGAAAAATCAGAAGCCAGCTAATGTGATTTTGGGCTGTGATTTCAAATTCTTAACACCTTCCTCATGACAAGGGTGTGCAGGAGCTCTTTCACACACACACACACACACAATTCATTGCCACGTTTCCCAGCAACGGCACACCATAAACCGTTTTACAAAGGAGCTTTAGTAAACACCATGAAAAAAGAAATACCCCCTAATATAAACTGTTCTGGTTTTTCTTTTCTTTTCTTGCTTTAATTTATATGCCGCCCTTCTCCGGAGACTCAGGGCAGCTTACAATGCGTTAAGCAATAGCCTTCATACTTTTGTATATTTATACAAAGTCAGCTTATTGCCCCCACAAACCGGGTCCTCAATTACCTACCTTAGAAAGGATGGAAGGCTGAGTCAACCTTGAGCCTGGTGAGATTTGAACTTGCAGTAATTGCAAGCAGCAGATGTTAATTACAGTGCTTGAGTCCACTGTACTACAGGCTTTTCTTTCTGTTTTCTCTTTCTCTTCGCCTTTTTTTTTTGGGAACTTTCTTTTCGTTTAGTTTCCCTTGTCTATTAAAATTTCTAATTAAAAAAAAAAAAAGGCGTACTGTGAGCCAGAAAAAAATAAAATATTTGCCCAGGGAATGAGATGTTTGAGGGAAGTAAAACTGAAAAAAAAAAATTAAAATAAAAATGGCGTCCCGGGAAAACCCCACCGTCTCAAATTCGGTGAAACACCTCAGCGTACTCATAAAAAGTGATGGCTTTTATGGTTTATTGCTAGGGCGGTGATCCTGAGACATCTAAAAATGGATCGGTTTCTGGCATTCCACATCGCTGACCGAGCTGTTTGCCTTGTGGTGAGCTGAGGACCAGGTTGGGACAAGAATGGGGTGTGGGCTCACTAGCTCTCTTTGACCCACTCTTCTCCAATTCCTTTGGGGCGTCCTCCATATTACCTGTTCAAATCTGGACAGTACTGGTTTCTAACGGGCAATTTTTAGTACACAGGTCGTCCTCGAAGTACGACCGCAATTCAGCCCAACGATTCCGTTGCTAAGCGTGACATTTGTTGAGCGAGTTTTGCTCCGTTTTACGACTTTCCTTGCCGCAGAGGTTGAGTTAGTAACACGGTTGTTAAGTGAATCTGGCTTCCCCGTTTGACGGAAGGTCGCAAAAAGTCCCGCCAGGCTCAAGGTTGACTCAGCCTTCCATCCTTTCTAAGGTAGGTAAATTGAGGACCCAGTTTGTGGGGGCAATAAGCTGACTTTGTATGAATATACAAAAAGGATGAAGGCTATTGCTTAGCGCACTGTAAGCCGCCCTGAGTCTCCGGAGAAGGGCGGCATATAAATCAAATTAAAAAAAAAAAAAGTGACATGATAAACGATTAGCTCAGAGAAAATATGGATTGAAGAGAAAAGTTCCTCTTAAGTTTGAAAAAGGGAGGAAGGATTTTGATACCCCTGCTCTCTGATAGGTTCTTCAGAGCTGGGTGTCGCGCAGTGGTGGGTTTCAAATTTTTTTACTACCGGTTCTGCTGGTGGGAGTGGCATGGCTTGGTGGGCGTGGCTTGGTGGGCGTGGCAGGGGAAGGATACTGTAAAATCTCCATTCCCACCATACTCCAGGGGAAGGAAACTGTAAAATCCCCATTTCCTCCCGATCAGCTGGGACTCGGGAGGCAGAGAATTGATGGGGGCTGGGCAAGTCAGAGGTGGTATTTGCCGGTTCTCCAAACTACTCAAAATTTCCGCTACCGGTTCTCCAGAACTGGTCAAAACCTGCTGAAACCCACCTCTGGCTGTCGCGTATGGCAAAAAGTCTCAAAGTCTCTTTTAACTGATTTTTAGAGAGACGTGTTATTTATCATTTATTCATCCCATCATAATCATTGTGCCTTACTCAAGGTGGTACATAGAATGAATCAGAAATATTATTTGATAATCGGAAATGACATAGGCAGGCCCGAGAGATCATTAGAGCATTCCAATGAGGAGTAGCTATAGAAGAGGACGTTTGTAGATCAGAGTTGAACTGCGGGGGTTCCTCGGTGCCTTCTGAGCTTGGCTGCTTTCTTGCAGACATTTCATGACCCAATTAGGTAACATCATCAGTGCTAGAAGTGGGGTTCGGGGTGGAGGAGAAGGAGAAGGAGAAGGGGAGGAGGAGGAGGGGGGAGAAGGAGGAGGAAGGGGAAGAGGAAGGGGAAGAGGAAGAGGAGGAGGACTGTGTGTTTCTTCCTAGTCTCTGAGCTTGGTTATTTTCTTGCAGACGTCCCATTACCCAATTAGGTAACATCATCAGTGCTAGAAGGGAGCGAGGTTTGTAAGGAGGAAGAGGAAGAAGAAGAGGGGAGGAGGAAGACTGTGGGGTCCTTGGTGCTCTCTGAGCTTGGTTGCAGACGTCCCATTACCCAATTAGGTAACATCATCAGTGCTAGAAGGGAGTGGGATTTGTGGCAGAGGAGGAGGAGGAGACCGGGAGGAGGAGAAAGAGGAGGGGGGGAGAAGGAGGAGGAAGGGGAAGAGGAAGAGGAGGAGGACTGTGGGTTTCTTTGTACTCTCTGAGCTTGGTTGTCTTCATGCAAGACGTTCCATTACCCAGCCACGTAACATCACCAGTGCTAGAAGAGAGTTGGGTTTATAAATAGAGAGCAAACCCCACTCCCTTCTAGCACTGATGATGTTAACTAGTTGGGTCATGAGACATCTGCAAGAACGTCTCATGACGTTCAGCTCAGAGAATGCCGAGCACCCCAAAACAAGCAATTCTAATTTGAGGTGTAGCAAACAACACAGAAAAGTCATTGGCCACAGAAAGGTGGTTCTAAATAGCAATCTCAGCACCGGATAGTGGCTACGCAGCCGCTACTCAATCTCCAAAGTGGTGTTTTCCTTCCGCTGAGTGAAAGGATTCGTTGCCTGGCAAGTAAACGTCCCTGACTGAATGTTCTTGAGAAGAACTTCAGTGTTCTTGCTGAATTCCTTCCCGTTGTGGAACCAACGATACTCGGCTTCAGGAAACGAGCTGGCTTTGCAGTTAAGTCTTCGGTTGGAGGGTTGGGTGAGGAACTTGGCAGTCATCTTGATCACAGGGGCGTCTGGACCATCTGTGGAACATAATTTATGGAGAGGTTGAGGGGCTTGTAGGAGTTGGTCATCATCCCTTTCCCCCTTTAAGAACCTTAAAAGTTCTCCTAGATATTTTTTTAAAAATAATATTTGATAATATGGCAACCAAAACTGCATTATCTTCGAGACCGCCTGCTGCTACCGACAACCTCCCATCGACCCGTGCGCTCCCACAGAGAGGGCCTCCTTGGGGTGCCATCAGCCAAACAATGCAGGCTGGTGACCCCCAGGGGGAGGGCCTTCTCTGTGGGGGCACCTACCCTCTGGAATCAGCTCCCCCCAGAGATAAGGAGAATCCAAGACCTCGGTGCCTTCCGCCGTGCCCTTAAAACTTTCTTTTTTCAGCAAGCCGGGCTGGCTTAACATATTTTTAAATATTTTTAATTGGTTTATCATTTTAAACTGGGGCCAAATTAATATATATTCTTTTAATTGTTTTTAATGTTTGTATTGTATGTTTTTATCTGGCTGTACACCGCCCTGAGTCCCTCGGGAGAAGGTGCGGTATATAAATTCGAAATAAAATAAAAATAAAATAAATAAAATTAGGTTTTGGTCGCCATATTATAAAAAAGATGTAGAGATTCTGGAAAGAGTGCCGAGAAGAGCAACAAAGATGATTTGGGGACCGGAGGATAACTCTGATTCTGGGTTTTATTATTTATTATTTATTAGTTAATTTGGTTTAAAATGGGATTTTGTTGTACATGTTTTTAACTTGTGTTCGCCGCCCTGAGTCCTTCTGGAGAAGGGCGGCATATAAATACATGAAATAAATAAATAAATAAATAAATAAATAAATAAATAAATAAATAAATAAATAAATAAAAGCAGTGGTGAAATCATTTTTTTTTACTACCGGTTCTGTGGGCATGGCTTGGTGGGCATGGTGTGGCTTGGTGGGCGTGGCTTGGTGGGCATGGCAGGGGAAGGATACTGCAAAATCTCCATTTCCACCTCACTCCAGGGGAAGGATACTGCAAAATCCCCATTCCCACTCCACTCTGGGGCCAGCCAAAGGTGGTATTTGCCAGTTCTCTGAACTGCTCAAAATTTCCGGTACTGGTTCTCCAGAAACCTGCTGGATTTCACCCCTGCAGGAATTGGGAATGTCTAATCTAGTGAAAAGAAGAACTAGGGATGACATGAGAGCAGTGTTCCAATATCTACAGTAAGGGGCTGCCACAAAGAAGAAGGATCAACTTATTCTCCAAAGCACCAGAAAGCAGGACAAGAAGCAATGGATGGAAATTAATCAAGAGAGAAAAGCAACCTAGAACTAAGGAGAAATTTCCTTATAGTGAGAAAAATTAACCAGTGGAACGACTGGCCTCCAGAAGTTGTGGGTGCTGAAACACTGGAAGTTTTTAAGAAGAGATTGGACAAATATTTGAAATGGTGTAGCAATAGCTCTTAGACTTATATACCGCTTCATATTGCTTTACCGCACTCTCTGAGCAGTTTACAAATGTCAGCATCTTGCCCCCAAACAATCTTGTTTTACTGAAGGATGGAAGGATGAGTCAACCTTGAACCGGTCAGGATCGAACTGCTGGCAGTTGACAGAGTTAGCCTGCAATACTGCATTCTAACCACTGTGCAGGCAGGCAGGCAGGAAGGAAGGAGAAAAAAAACAGCAGCAGCAATAGCACTTAGATTTATATACCGCTTCACAATGCTTTACAGCCCACTCCAAGCAGTTTACAGAGTCAGCATATTGCCCCCCAACAATCTGGGTCCTCATTTTACCGATCTTGGAAGGATGGAAGGCTGAGTCAACTTTGAACCGGTCAGGATCGAACTGCTGACAGTGGGCAGAGTTTGCCTGTCATACTGCATTCTAACCAATGCGCCACAACGGTTCTGTATAAAGTTCGCTGCTGGAGCAGCAGATTGGACTAAAAGACCTCCAAGGTCCCTTGTTATTCTGTATTCTGAGGGACCCAGATTGTTGGGGGCGAGATGCTGACTCTGTAAATCGCTTAGAGAGGGCTGTAACGCACCATGAAGTGGTATAAAAATTTAAGGACTATTTTTATAGATCCCCACTCTTACACATACTGATATGCAACCTATGGCAGATTTCTCTCAGGGAGAAAAAGCTGACCATTATGTGACTACTCACAGATCACAGAAATGGTGGTGGTGTCACTCCTTTGACCAGACAAGGGGTTGGAAATATGACACTGATACGCGCCAGCATCACGACGGAGAACGGGCTGTATGGTGAGGGTCTGGTTATTATTGGACAGCTGGATCCGACGGCAGGCGTTGAGGGGTTTCCCATTCTGCAGCCAGCTGATATTTGCAAACCTCACAGTTGTGTCACACTTGAGATGAACCGAATCCATATTCTCTCGGAAAAGCTGGACAATGGACATACTCGGCTTGGGCAGTAAGCCCGGAGCTGAAAGAGACAAAAAATGGCCACCGTGAGCATTGGGCGCATGGCTGATTAAGCCTCGAAATTTGACATCGGGTGGAATACAGCAGGGGTGAAATGCTACCGGTACGAACCGGTTCGGACGAATCGGTAGTGAGGGCGGTGGGAGGTTCGGAGAACCGGTAGCAACGGCAGCGCGAGGCTATACCCATCTGCCCGGTCATTGTTACTTCCTGGTTTTAACCAGGAAGTAACCTGTTTTTAACCTCTGCGCATGCACAGAGGGTCAAAGCGTGCACGTGCATTTCCGAACTGGTAGGGAAGGTAAGTAGATTTCACACCTGGAATACAGGTAATCCTCGTCTTACGATCTACAATTGAGCCCAAAATTTCTGGGGTTAAGGGAGACGATTGTTAAGTGAATTTTTGCCCCGTCTCACGACAGTTGTTAAGCGAAATGCTGCATTTGATACATTAGGAATACGGTTGTTAAGTGAATCTGGCTTCCCTGTTGATTTTGCTTATCATTCCTGAGGGACAAATGGGGTTTACAGAGGCAGCCATTCAAAGCCAGCTGAAGCGGAAGGGAAGAGAAAATTCATACCTAGAACCTCTACGCTGAGTTCTCCTTTTCCGTGGACAGACGGTCCATCTTTGGTCACTGTGTAGGTTCCAGAGTCATCCTGGTTTAGATTTTCAATGTGGAGAGAGCAATTCGGGCCTGCAGTTTCTCGCCCAGTGTAGGCAGATCCGAAGACGTTTCCGCTTAACGGAGGCAGGTAGACGGTGACGATCAAATTTTTTTGACTATCTGCCCCTCGATACCAATTGCAAATAATGAAGGCAGTCGAGGCAGAACCGATGGTCAAATTGATTCCCTGCCCTTCTATGGCATTTGAGGGGTTCATGAAAACGGGGAGGTTGTATTTGGTTACCTGGGCTTGGGTCGACAGGAAATTAGAGCTGAGGATGAAAACTATCACATGAAGAGGGGGGAAAAAAAGAGAGAGAGAGAGAGAAAAACACTCGTTCAATCAAAATGTTCATTCTATCCAAGCTGCATTTACCAAACGTATATGGAAGGAAGAACCCAGTGGTGAAATCCAAATTTTTTTACTATCGGTTCTATGGACTTGGTGTGGCTTGGTGGGCGTGGCAGAGGAAGGATACTGCAAAATCTCCATTCCCACCCCACTCCAGGGCAAGGATATTGCACTGTGCGCTCCCACAGAGAGGGCCTCCTCGGGGTGCCATCAGCCAAACAATGCAGGCTGGTGACCCCCAAGGGGAGGGCCTTCTCTGTGGGGGCACCTACCCTCTGGAACCAACTGCCCCCAGAGATAAGGAGAATCCAAGACCTCGGTGCCTTCCGCCGTTCCCTTAAAACTTTCTTTTTCCAGCAAGCCGGGCTGGCCTAACACTTTTTAAATGTTTTAATTGGTTTGTTACTGTTTTCAATTATGGGGCCAAATTTATATATATCTTTTAATGGTATTTTAATATTTGTACTCTATGTTTTTTATGTGGCTGTACACCGCCCTGAGTCCTTGGGGAGAAGGGCGGTATACAAATTCAAAAATAAATAAATAAAATAAAATAAAATAAAATCCCCATTCCCTCCCCACTCCAGGCAGCCCCTCAAGTATTGGAAGACTGCTATCATGTCACCCCGGGGTCCTTCTTTTCATTAAATTAGACCTACCCAATTCCAGCAACCGTTCTTTATAAGTTTTAGCCTCCAGTCCCCTAATCATCTTCGTCGCTCTTCTCTGCATTCTTTCCTGAGTCTCAGCATCTTTTTTTTTATATCGTGGTGACCAAAACTTGATGCGGTATTCTGACATGCCCTCCCCCATCTAAGTCCACACTCACATGGCTATCATTTCCTGCTACGGTGTCTAGCCATGATCTCCAAACAATGTCGACTGGCGGCCCACAGGGGGGAGAGCCTTCTCTGTGGGGGCACCTACGATCTGGAATGAGCTCCCCCCCCGGAGATACGGAGGATCCCAGATCTGCGCACCTTCCGTCGCACGCTCAAGACTTTCTTATTCCATCAAGCTGGCCTGACCTAAGTCTTTCCCCCTTTTAAATGGAAATTTTAGATTTGGTTTTAAATTATTGGGGTTTTAAATTTGTTCAGCCAAATTTTATTTTTATTTATTTATTTTATTTTATTATTTTTATTAGATTTATATGCCGCCCTTCTCCGGAGACTCAGGGCGTCTTACAGTGCGTTAAGCAATAGCCTTCATACTTTTGTATATTTATACAAAGTCAGCTTATTGCCCCCACAACTGGGTCCTCAATTTACCTACCTTAGAAAGGATGGAAGGCTGAGTCAACCTTGAGCCTTGGCGAGATTCGAACCTGCAGTAATTGCAGGCAGCTGAATGTTAATAACAGGCTTTTAGTCTGTTGAGCTATCCAGGCTCAACGAATTATTTAATTCGTTTTAGTTTATTTTAAATTTTGTATTTTATATGTTTTATTCTATGGCTGTTCACCGCCCTGAGTCCTTCGGGAGTAGGGCGGTATACAAATTCAATAAAATAAAAATAAAATAAATAAATCTCAGGGAAACCCCAACAAACTTCACACTCCTTCACGACTCACCTGCTAAGTATGGCAACTTCCCACCAAGAGCGAAGGGTCCTTTCTCCATGGTGTAGGTTGACTTCTTCTAGAGCTCAGCGCTCAGCCGCAGGAAGAATTCCAGAATCCGTTCTCTGCCACCAGAACTACCAAGGTTGATGGACCAACTCTCCCCTCAGAAGGAAGAAGGTGTTTGCTCCCGGCTCTGACCCACGAAGTTTTACACCTTTTTTCCAAGCGAACCGCCTCCTTTTCTCTGGCGTCATTCTTGCAAAGGGGGATGTCTGGATGGAGAAATGGAGACAAGAGTAGGGGAGAATGGAATGAGGAAGAGAAGTGCACACCTGGAACTGGACACGAGTCCTTTCCTACAGTGCTGTCCCAGGAGCAAAGAACTCAGAATACCTTTGCATTCGCTTGCAACCATCAGGGCAAGACACATGATGGAGACTTCCTAACAGCGAGGAGGATTAACCAGTGGAACAGCTTGCCTCCAGAAATCATGGGTGCTACAACATTGGAGGTTTTAAGAACAGACTGGACAGTCACTTGTCTGAGATGGTATAGATCCGTGATGGTGAACCTATGGCACGCATGCCACAGGTGGCACACAGAGTCATATCTGTGGACACACGAGCGTTGCCCTAGCTAAGCTCCAGAACGCATGCGCGCACTGGCCAGCTGATTTTTGGGCCTTCCGGGCCCACCGGAAGTCAGGAAATGGGCTGTTTTCTGCCTCCAGAGGGCCTCCGGGGCATGGGGAAGGCCGTTTTCACCCTCCCCAGGCTCCTAGAAAGCCTCTGGAAGATGAGAATCACATCTACTCTACTCTATTCTACTCTATTCTACTCTATATTCTATTCTATTCTATCTATTCTATTCTATTCTATTCTATTCTATTCTATCTATTCTATTCTATTCTATTCTATTCTATTCTATTCTACCCTACCCTACCCTACCCTACCCTACCCTACCCTACCCTACCCTACTCTACTCTATATTCTATTCTGTTCTGTTCTGTTCTGTTCTGTTCTATTCTATTCTATTCTATTCTATTCTATTCTATTCTATTCTATTCTATTCTATTCTACTCTACTCTACTCTACTCTACTCTACTCTACTCTATATTCTATTCTGTTCTGTCTGTTCTGTTCTGTTCTATTCTACTCTACTCTACTCTACTCTACTCTACTCTACTCTACTCTATATTCTATTCTGTTCTGTTCTGTTCTATTCTATTCTATTCTATTCTACTCTACTCTACTCTACTCTACTCTACTCTATATTCTCTTCTCTTCTCTTCTCTTCTTCTCTTCTCTTCTCTTCTATCTTACTCTACTCTACTCTACTCTATATTCTGTCCTATCCTGTCCTGTCCTGTCCTGTCCTGTCCTATCCTATCCTATCCTATCCTATCCTATCCTATCATCCTATCCTATCCTATCCTATCCTATCCTATCCTATCCTATCCTATTTATTTTGGGGGTATCCCCCTTCCTATGGACACCCTTGCTCCGATGATCCATGAATGCTGCTGTGTTGGAAACCTTCTCAGGATGACTTTTGTGGACTTGGCATTAGTTCATGGCAGGTGTGATGGGCGTTCGATCACACTCAACCTTCGGGGACAAAAGAGAAGTAATGTTCTCACAGCAATGAAAGTGGAAAGGACAATGAATCTCCAAGTTATTTCCTGAACAGCTGAGCTTCAGAAAAACCCCCACACCTCCTTGTTCCTCTCTGCATAATGTATTGAATTGAACCGGCGGACGGGTTCATGTGAGGTTGGGCAACACCCTCAAGCGTTCGATTTGTTCGTTAATTAACCCCCAGGAATTTCATTTAGCCTTAACGAGAACCAACAATTAGCAGGAGAAATGAAAAAATTTTCTCACGCAGGCTTTGAGACCCCAAAAATAAAAGCAATGATACGCCTGGGAAACATAATCAAAGAACCCTAATTGCTCATTCTGACCTTCAAGAAAAAGAACCAGAGAGATAGAGCGGCCAAAAAAAGGGGAAATTTTCTATTGCAGGAAGTCCTCAATTTACAACTATTTGTTTTGTGGTCAAAATTGTGGAAACCTTTTGGGAAAAGTGTATTTTTGAGGTTTGATCGCTAATAACACCACTTTTTTTTTTTTTTTTTTGAGTTTCAAGATGATCCTATTCCACTGCTGGAATGGCCTGGGAATAGCCCAGACACCTTCTTAACCCAATTGAAAATCTATGGAGCCGACTAAAGAAACTTGTTCGTCAGAAGCGACCCAGCAATAAAATCCAGTTAATAGAAGCCATCCTTCAATCTTGGTTTCACATTATAACAGCTGCAGAACTCAAAGGCTTGGTTCACTCCGTGGGAAGACGTTGTAAGACCATCATTCATGCTAAACGTAACCCAACGAAGTATTAATTGACATGGTGATCATTCCTGTATATCTCCTTCTTTCTACGTGTTTCACATTTCTTCTTTATACTGTAGCTGCTATTCTAACAGCAAATCCTTCATAAAAGTGATTGCATTATGTTCTTGATTAAATTATCTTTCCATTGATATATAATTTTATGGTATTACTCCCCCCAAAAAAGTGGTGTTATGAGCTAGTTTTAGAAAATACACTTTTCCCAAAAGGTTTCCACAATTTTGGCCACCATTGTAGTAAGCATGCAACAGCGCTGAAACGACTCACACGCTTATAATTGTCATAGAATCCTTGTGGTTTTGTGAACAAAATTTGGGAGCTTGGGGGTATATTTATGATGAATGAAGCATCATATAATCATCATTTGTGACCTTTCCCAGCCGGCTTTGACAAGCAAAATCAACGGGGGTAGCCAGTTTCGTTTAACAACCTCATGGTTCAGTTCACAACTGAACTGCAGTGATTTGCTTCAGATCAGTGGCCGAATCGGTCATAAGCAGTGGTGGGTTTCAAATTTTTTTACTACCGGTTCTGTGGGTGTGGCTTGGGCATGGCATGGCTTGGTGGGCTGCGCATTCGGAACCAAAAAGGTTAACCATCACTGCCATAGACTGTCAAGTGAGAGATTTTATTGCTTAAAATGGAGGACAATATGTTCCTTCTCTTGTGTATCAGCTAAAGCAGTGTTTCTCAACCTTGGAAGCTTGAAGATGGGTGGACTTCAACTCCCAGAATCCCCCAGCGCTGGGGGATTCTGGGAGTTGAAGTCCACCCATCTTCAAGCTTCCAAGGTTGAGAAACACCCATCTTCAAGCTTCCAAGGTTGAGAAACACTGAGCTAAAGGTAGAATCTTAGATGTTGATGGTATTTTAGCAGAGATACGGTAGAGACAAGGTTGTTTCTTCTGGCGCGATGCTGCCACCTTCTGGCATCTGACAGGTGGGGCGATGTGAGAGACAGGCTCTGGGTGCGTATAAATCAATAACATGAATAACCTATTCCAAAATATTCTCGAGATTTAAGATTGGAGCAGCATCAGGCAAGTGTAATCAAGGACATGCGGACAGAGCTCTGGACATGTACAGAGTCAGAATTGTAAGCCCAGTGTCAGACTTCGATGCTATCTCAAAATAAATGAATTTCCAAACTGCCAATCTTTAAGGAAATCTTTTCTTTAATTGAGCACAGCCACCGGATCATGACTCGATGCGGACAAGACTGACCTTTTGCCCCCCCAATCCCTCCCTTTCCGATCCCCAAATCTCTGCTTCTCATTGGCTATCTTCCAAGTCATTCTTCAGACTTCTTGTCTCGTCATTTCCCAGGAATGTCTCCCCCCTTCATTTCCACGACAACACGACTTCAAAGGGATTTAGCAGGCAAAAGTTCAGAGCTTATCTCTCTGTCTCCTCTGCTCTCTATGCCAGCGTCGAAGCGCTGACACCCAGTAGGGAAAAAAAAAAATCAAACTCTATCGGATGATAGAATAAAAAGTCTGAAGAAGGCATATACTCGCAGTCAAGGGCATTTTGTTTAATTTGCCTTGGGAGATGCTCAGCCCGACTTTTCATTCCCAGAAGTTCATTTTATTTCATTTGCCCTTGTGAGATGCTCACCTCAACTTTTCTCAAGAAGCTCGTTTTATTTATTTAATCTGCCTTGTGAGACACTGAGCCAGTGATGGGATTCAGCCGGTTCGGACTGATTCAGGCGAACCGGTAGTTAAATTGTGGACTGGCCCCGCCCCTTCCCACCCCTCCCCTTCCAGGAGTCCCCACATTTTGGCTCCCAGTTAAGTGCAGGGAGGCCTCCTAGGCCCAAAACGGAGTGGGGGCTGCAGCGCATGTTGATGGTATTTGCATCCCAGGGGGGTGCAGGAGGCCAAATGCTGCCAGTCACACCCCCTGGCCATGCCCACCATGGCCATGCCCACTCAGCTGGTCATTAGGGCAGAGAACCGGTTGTTAAATTATTTGAATCCCACCAGTGCGCTGAGCCCAACTTTTCTCTTGGTGGAATATAAAGAAATGTCTCTTGCTATTTTACTCTTACAGTGACAAACTTTCAAGGTAGACCGGACTGAGAGAAAATAAGTCATCCAATTTTTTCCCCCCAATAATCATCATTCTAAAGCTGAAGGTAAAACTTGAATATGCAAGATTCCTATCTTCTAACTCTTCTGAGTCATCTAACTCATTATACCTGTTGTGGTCCACCAGCAATCTGCGGAGCTGGCAGCAGAGTCGGACAATGAGGAGGCTGGGGAGGACAATGGGCCAGTCCTGGGGGCTGGGGAAGGCCCGGACGAGGGCTCTGTGTCGGAGGCACAGATGGGGTCAGGGCCATCTGGGAGTGATGCGCGGACTCTGGAGCCTCCAGAGGCAGATAGCAGCGAGGCAGAGGAACAGGAGGAGCCTGTTCCTAGTGCACGCATGTGAAGAGCTGCCAGAAGGCAAGAGCAGCTAAAGCAAAAAGGACGACTCGGGAGTAAGGCCAGGAGATGATTGGCCCCTCCCAGAAGACTTAAAAGTGCAGCAAGGGCTCTTGGGATCTTTGTAGGAAAGCAGCGTCTTCTGCTTCTGAACTTTTGCCAAGAAAAGCCTTTGGCAGGGTGCCAAAGAAGACAAAGGTTGTGTCAGCGTCTCACCGCTGGCATAGAGAGGAGAGAGATAAGCCCTGAACTTTTGCCTGCTAAATCCTTTTGAAGCTGGGTCGTCATGGAAATGAAGGGAGGGGGGACATTCCTGTGAAATGACGAGACAAGAAGTCAGTA